AGAATTAATGAAACCTTGCAGAAATATAGAATGAGAATAATGGTAACTAAGTCAGAAAGAAATAGATGAAATAATAATCATAAAATGGAATAAGAGTAAAGAGAAATAAAGAGAAAATGGATAAGAGGTTTTTGTATGTTTATATGGAAATGGTTTAAAACAGAATTATAGTTCATCTGACTTGTTAAATTTATAATGGAAAAAGGTTCAAATATGTAATGGATAATGATGACTTGTGTGTTTTGAAAATTAATAAAACTTGTTTAAAAAAAAAAAAGAATGTCAGAGAGAGCAAGCTATGATATCTAGCTCCCTCTTATGGTAATTTGCAATATAATCAACCAATCAGAATATAGTATAAATACAGTGATTTTGTCTTAAAGCTAGAAACGTTCATTGTTGGTTTATATAATGCCAAGCCAACTAATTGGTGTACAGATTCCTAGCACCCTTTCCCCCCTCCCTTTCTGTTGGCAACTCTAAAAAGACCATAGAAATGTTTTATGAGTTGACACCCTGTTCCCAGCCCTTAAGAGTTTCTGTTCTCCGTCCTGCAGTCTACGTCACGCTGAACGGCTCAACCGCCCACCCCCGGCTCCTGTGCCAGGGCTCCACTCTGACTTGGACTGACAGAATGCCCAGATGTGCCAGAGAGGTTTGACCGGGAATTCTGCGTCCTGGGCTCTGAAGGATTCACCACAGGATGGCACTGGTGGGAAGTGTCCGTGCAGGGGGACTACAATTCCTTGGTGCGGGGCACAGCATGGTGGGCCATCGGGGTGGCCAAGGAGTCCGTCCCCAGGAAGGGGACCTTCCAGCTGAGCCCCCAGGAGGGAATCTGGGCCGTGGGGAAGAGTGTTTAGGGGGTGACTGTCGATTTTGAAACGTATCAGCAGAAGCTGAGCTTGCAAAGGCCGCTGCGGAGGCTGTGGGTGAGGCTGGACTGCGAGGCACGAAAAGTGGAGTTCCTGGATGTGGCAACAGAGGCTTCCCTCTACACCTTCCAGATGGGGCCCCTCCTTGGGGAGACGCTCCGGCCTTTTTTCTATCTGGGCAAGATGGGGCTCACCCTTCAATGTGAGGAATATCCTGTGGAAAGTATGTGTGACTGATAGTCCTCACAACAGTTGATGTAGTGACCAAAGTTGAGGAGCTCAGCCCCACCTGGTGCCTTCAAGGCCACATCTGGCAAGAGGACCAGATGTCTCCCCTCCACGCGCCATGCCCGACCTCCTTATCCTTTTGCCATGCTCAGTCCAGGCTGGTTGGGGGTTGCCAAGAGCTTCATGGCTTTGACTGACTGAGAGGTGGTGGGGCTGTGACGCAGTGATGCCTCCTGGCCCCTCTGAGCCCCCTTTGTCCCTTGTTCGGGCAAAACCCTTGATGCCGCCTCCTGCCAGGTGCTGCACCCTTGTGCGTTAACACAATGTTTCTCCACCTGGGCACCCAGGAAATGTGCGGACTTCAACTTTCCCAGCCAGCAGAGCTACCTGGGGAATTTAGGTGTTGGACGTCCCTGCATCCTCCAGGTTCTGCCAAGGTTGGGCATCCCTGCCTGACTCTGTGGCTCACAGTTTAGTGAAAAGATAAATGGTTAAAGGATCTTTATAATCAGTAGAAGTGATACCTTAATACCTGCCTGTTATTCTACATTTATGTTACTCTGAACTTATTAAGAATGCAACATGTTTATGTTTTATTTGTATTGTTTATCGAGGCGTTTTATAGACATTGAATAAGTTTTTAAGATTACCTTTTAAGGAGAATCTTTGTAGCTCAGGGTTGACCTGAGGGGGTCCTTGGTGGTCCCTGAGCTTGGTTTTCTTGCAGATGTTTCACAACCCAAATCGGTACCATCATCAGTGCTAGTGAAGAAGGGAGGGGTTGCTCTCAGTTGAGAGCAAACTGAGAGCAAAACCCACTCCTAACCACCACAATGTTGCCTAGTTTGGGTCATGAAGCCTCTGCAAGAAAACCACCAAACTCAAGGTACCACCAAGGACCCCTCCCCTTCTTATCAGCTCCACACCAAACTTGGGGTGCCCGAGTTTGGAGGCAACCGATCCAAGGGCTTGTCCAGGATGGCAGAGTGATGCCCTTCAGGGCTGGGATGAGCCACCTTCGGCCCCAGGTGAGCTGACCCAGGCACCTTCGGAGGAGTCAGACGAGCAAGGGGGCAGGAAGGGCGCAAGCCCTGAAGATGAGGGAGGGAATGAGACGGGGGAAGGGTGTGCCCCTCCGGAGCCAGTTGGGGCTCTGGACAAGACACAAACCCAGCCGGGAAAGAGCAACGGAACCCATAAATTTGCCACTTGTGGAAGGTTATCTGACATGAAGTGTTTTCTGTGCTTCAAGTCTGGCATGCAATCGATGTCTTTGGGAGGCCAGGTAACTCTGCCCGTCCAGCAGGGAGTGGCCAAAGGAGAGTGGTCATCCTGTGCACAGGGAAGTGGACAATACACTGGACACAGGAAGAGAGGGGGCCAAAGTGGGACTCCTTTTGCTTGGGACAGTGAGTGCAAAGGGAGCAGTACCATCCCCACCAAATGGACTTCGGGATCCTGTGGGTGGAGGGTCTGAGTGACGAGTCACCCAGAAGGTCCAAAAGGCGACCCCCCCCCTCCTGCCCCTGATCTGCCACACCCATCCCCCCACCTCTGGAGGGATGAGGATGGCCTGGATCTTGTGTCTTCCAGGGGTGGGGGAGTTATAGGGGGAGAAGAGTGGGAACTCAGGGCCCACAATCCTTGTAGATATTTTGCCTGCTGGAAAAGAAGCTGGAATCGGTGCTGATGGAGCAGAACAGATCAACAGAGTTGGAAGGGACCTTGTAGATCATCTAGTCCAGGGGTCACCAACCTTTCGGACCTCAGGGACCACTAAATTAAAATTTTTAAATCCCATGGACCACTAATATGATTCTGCGCACCGCTCACTGAAGCGCCTGGATTCCCAGTGACAGGATGCGGTCCTTCAGGCACTTCGCTTGGCCACCTGTTTTTGCAACCTTAAACATTCAAAGAGCCATTGGACCCATTTCCCACAGAAAACAAAACACTGGGATCTCTCATCTCCCTCTCTCCCCCGCCATCTCATCTCATCTCTGTCTCATCTCTTTGTCTGTGTCTCTTTCTGTCATCTATTTGTATCTCTCTCTCTCTGTCTCTCTCATCTCTTGCTTTCTGTCTCTTTGTCTCTGTCTGTCTCTCTCTCATCTCTCTTTGTATCTGTCTGTCTCATCTCTTTCTCATCTCTCTGTCTGTCTCTCTTTCCCTCTGTCTCTTTCTCTCTTTGTCTCTCTCATTCTGATTCTCCAGCGCTTTCTGGGTCTCGCAGGTGCTTTTTTGGCCTTTGTTGGTGCTGGACGCACCTCGGTTGCTTGTGGAGATGCACAAACTGCTCTCTGGTCTGAGACCCTCATCCGACCCGGCTGCAGCTGATGCTCTGCATTGTAATGGGCTCCCGGAGGAGGAGGGGATGCTGCATCTCCCCCATTGTGAAGCACTCTAAATTTAACTGTGCTGCACAAGGTGCTGCAAGAGCAGTGGGCAGGCTATGGAGGCACCAACAGCAGCAGTGGAGAGAAACAGCCAGGTCAGGCCAGAGTCTCGGGGCTGAGAGGAAGTCATGCGTCTCCCCGAGCGACTGATGTGCGCAGAGCATCAACAAGGGCCGGAAGAAACGCCTGCGAGACCCAGCAAGAGATGAAGCTTCGCTCCCGCTCTGGAATATGGAGTGAATCTCCATCCCCCGCCCTTCCCTTCTCAGGGCAGGCGAGGAGTGAGTGGGAGGGAAGGGCGAGGTCAGCCAGTGGTGGGTTCAGCCCACAGGAAGCCACAGCAGGGGGAAGAAAGAACCGTGGGTTGCCGACACCTGTTGCTTCAGCCCGCCTGCAACCTCCCCTTGCTGCAACATGACCATTACTTCGTTCCGGCCAGCAAGGGCTGCGCTACTGCTTGCAGGTTGCACCACCTGCAAAGTTGCAAGTTGCACATACCTCCCTCTACAGTGGAGATTTCCAGCCCCACCATCAGCTGCCTGACTGGTCCCATATTTCAGGGCTCTAGTCACAGGACTGTCCCATTGGTCATCCTGGAGCAGCTCCTCCACCTGGGTGCGCTGCGGACCACCGAAATTTTCTTGTGGACCATCAGTGGTCCGCAGACCACCAATTGGTGACCTCTGAACTAGTCCAACCCCTCACTCCCAAGCAGGAGACCCTGCACCATTTCTGACAGATGGCAGTGTAGTAGCTACTGAGATCCTATAGATGGCACTAGATGCTAGCAGCAAACTGCAATGTCTGATACCTATATGGGACTCTTGCTACTTGCATGATCTCATTTCTTAGGTGTATTTTGGTGAAGGTGGAAAGTCCCGGACTTACAGATCTCATTTACTAACATCACCACTAGTCTTAAGGATTGGTTGGGAGGTTGTACCAATGTAGTTGGGAGGTTTCACCCATGTGGGATCTATTCTCCAATCCAAATACTGTATGTTATTCTTTGCTTGTAAAAATAGTATCAAATAATAAATGCCACATATGTGGTCAGACATCTTTGCACACTGAAATGACTGGTTACTGAACTCCCACAAGTGGCGCCCGAACAGGGACATTACCCTATGGGGACGCAGCTACCAACATACTTGCCTTCGTCTGGAACAGACCCCTAAGGTGCGCACCACGTCCTACGGGACCGATCAGAGGTAAGTATGGGCTTCAATCTATCTCATCACCAGCAGAAACATGTTCAGGAACTTAAATTCCTGCTACATAAATCAGGTGCAGAAGTACCTGAGTCTGATATGAAAAAGCTGATTGAGGAGATAGGAAAGCTTTGTTCCTGGTATCCTGAGCGTGGGACGCTCAGGTTACAGAATTGGATAAAGATAGGACGTACTTTACATCTTGAACCTAGGGCTCCAGTTCAAATATTACATTGATGGTATCAATGCTGTCAAGCAGTGGAGCAATTTCGCTCTGATGCCTCAATGGGGCAACAATTAACTACCAGCCCCCCTCCTGATTATGATCAGGTAAAAATTGTCACCCCAAAATCATTTTCAATTGGACCTACAGCTCCTTCTGAAGAGATTAAACCTTTTGCTGCTTCACAGCCAGTGTACACCCCCATAAGGATAATATTGGAAGAATAATTAGACAAAAGGGGAGGGAAATGTAGAAGAAATAGCAGAAATGCTTTCCGTATGTCCAGTGCATGCCACGGGACAAGTAGATCAAAATGGAGCTCAAATAGTAGAATATCGCCCTCTGTCATATGCAATTTTAACAGAACTAAGAAAAGGAATTAGAGATATGGGGTTGGGAAGTACAAGGAATGTTAGAAGCTACTATGAGAAATCATATTTTAGTACCTGAAGATTGGAAAACTACCTTTCGTATGTTGCTTACTCCAGCTCAATATGTGGTTTGGGACAGTGAATTTAGACATCAATGTGCTGTGCGTGCCCAGCTTTTGAGGGGGGGGGGGGCTTTCATTCCTGAGCAATTGTATGGATCTGGCAATTTTGCTCCAGTTGATGCTCAAATTGTTTTACTTGCTGCCACGTTACAGATTTCTTTTTTTTTCTTTTTTTGAATTTTTTTTTTATTGTTTTAACAACAAACAAAAACACATAAAACATAAGACATAAAACATAAAAGCATCATCATCCTTCATAAATTTACAAACAGTGTATCGGTTGGTTTACCACATTTTTTTGTGCATCCATTTCATAGTCTCCATTGTAGTTGTGTTACAAAATAACTCATATTATCAATCAACAATTATATAGCCTGATATCATTATTAAACAATCATTCGACTATAATTTTATTAATTCATACTTTAATGAGATAACTATGGTTTACTTAATTTATTTTATAGCAAATCATAAAGTCATACCAAGTCTATCTTAATAAAATTTTGTAAAGATACTATCAAAGAAAAAAAAAAGTTTATATTCATTATTTCCTAAGTTTCTAAATATTCTATTATTATATTTTATTATCTAACCATTGATAGAAAAGGTCCCAAACTTCATAGAATTGTTTATCTTCTTGTTCTCTAATTTCAAATGTCAATCTACTCATTTCAGCACATTCCAGTATTTTCTTGATAATTTCTTCCTCTGATGGTATTTTCTCACTGTTCCAATTTTTAGCAAATACAATCCTAGCCGCTGTTAATACATTTACAATCAAATACTTCAAATTTTTATTATATGTATCAGGTAAGATTCCCAATAAAAAGATTTCTGGTTTCAAATCTATATGTTTCTTTGTCATTTTTTCCAACCATATGCGAATTCTAGTCCAATATTTTCTAGCGTCCTCACAAGTCCACAGATTTCTTCAGAATGTGCTTATCGAGCATTTTCAAAAGTGCCGGTTTCTGGCAAGCCTCATCAGGCTTTCTCTAATATCAGGCAGAAAGCTACTGAGCCGTATCCTGACTTTATTAACAGATTACAGGATGCTTTACGG